GGCCCACCCAACAACCACCCCACAGACGGCCCGCCCGGGCCACCACCGAGGCGCCGTCCGGTCCGGCGGCCAAAGCCTCCCCCGGGTCTGTGACCCAGAGGTATAATAGTGGGGTGTTAAGTTTGCCGTTGTAAATAGTGGTGTCGCCGTGGTAATAGTGGTTTGTGGTTCTTGTCAAGGTTGCCGTTCTGGGTTAAATAGTGGTTGTCGCCCGTGGTAATAGTGGATGTCAGTTTCCGTGGTAATAGTGGTGTCAGTTGCCGTGTAAATTGTGGTTGTCGCCGTGGTAATAGTGGTGTCAGTTGCCGTGGTAGGTTAATAATGTGTCAGTTTTGCGTGTAAATAGTGGTGTTTGGTTGCCAAAGAAAAAGTTTAATAATAATCTTTATATCCACCAGTACATGATATAACTTATACAAACCATAAGTTAACATCAGTGAATTAATATATAATAATTAATAATAATAATATAATAATAATAATAATAATAAATAATATAATAATAATAATAATAATAATCTTATATTTACCAGTACATGATATAACTTATACAAACCATTGCTAACATACTATATAAAAAGTTCCTGGTGGCCTGGTGGCTAAAGCTCCCGCTTCACACACGGAGGGCCCGGGTTCGATTCCCGGCGGGTGGAAACATTTCGACATGTTTCCTTACACCTATTGTCCTGTTCACCTAGCAGCAAATAGGTACCTGGGTGTTAGTCGACTGGTGTGGGTCGCATCCTGGGGGACAAGATTAAGGACCCCAATGGAAATAAGTTAGACAGTCCTCGATGACGCACTGACTTTCTTGGGTTATCCTGGGTGGCTAACCCTCCGGTGTTAAAAATCCGAGCGAAATCTTATCTTATCTTATGTAGAACATTTCTTGCAACTCAATACGAATAAAAAACCCACATTGTGAACTTTGCAAAGAAATAAAATCTCTAATTGTTAAAAAATCTGGAATTCCCTCCCTGAAGTTTGTGAAGGTCACAAAGCTATTGTTAAAAAGTCCTTTGCTTTTATTTTCAAGGACCTCAATGGAAATGAGTCGCTGAGTTTTTTTGGGTCATCTTGGTGGGTAAATTTACACATTTGTTAAAACTATGCAGAACAAAAACCAATGTGAAAAATGTGAATTCCGAGCGCTTTTCTGACTTTAACATTATCAAGGAAAATACGTATATACATAGTTCCTTAATAATGTGAGAAGTCACGAAAGCACTTGGAATTTCACTATTTTTTCACAGTGGTTGTTCTGTATATTGTGATATCACCAGTTTACTGTGATCTTGTTGCATCATATGTTATGCTATCTTTGCTTAATATTTTATTACATGTAAACTACATTTGTAAACTGCACAAAGAAATAGTTTGGGTGGTACTAAAGCACCTCATCTCCATCTTGATAGCAATATGTTATGTCTAAGTTATGGAAATATAAACACATATGCAGTATAATGTGATCCTTTGTTGACTACGTTTCGCCCACACAGTGGGCTTTTTCAAGTCACAAACAGAACTTCCATGTCTAAGTTATCCTGTGGACTGTAGTTAAAAAGATTACAGAGGTACATAATGGGGCCTAGGGATTGGGCCCCAATTCAGTTCAATTCAATTCAATTCAGGTTTATTCTCTATAAGGGTTACAATGTGGGGTTAACAGGTTTTGGGTATTGTGTGGTTTACATGTTATAAAATACTAATTACAGAGGGAACCACTAGGTCTAAGAAAACCAATTTTCGTCTAATTTTTGTCCCCATTCTTCCAGCCTTCCTTCTGCTCCCATATATAATTAGTAACATATATTATCCACTTATATTTTTATTGTAAGCTAAATAACTTAATATATTTTCACCATCTCTCTTCCGTCACTGTATAAAACTGAAGATCATTGATCCAGTTTAAATAAGTAATTCTTTTCTAATTGACCATTTGCCATTTGATACCTTGTTTTATTGTACCTATGACTGTAGTTAACTACACAAGAACTCTTACATAATAGCTATGTCTACATGATGATTTGCACAAACCATACATGGGTGGGGTTGGAACCCACGGTTAGAGGAGTCTCAAAACTGTGTTTTGAGACTTGACCACGAGTTCAAACCCCACCCATGGTATGGTTTTTTTAGCTGTGTCTGTTCTTAAGTAGCATGGAAGTTACTTTATGTACGATACACTGAGGTACAAATTATTATACGTGTTAAATTACAAGGTAACCCAAAAAACTCAAAGTCCACTTATTTTCATTGCAGAATGCATTTCATAATAGTGGCTTTCTTTTGTTGCCGACTATTGTGCGGGATTCATGTATGTACCATTATTTGTATGACTCAGAGAAATAATATCTTATCATTTTAAGTTGTTCTCCCGATACAACTCAGAAGTCGGCTAACACCAGGTGCTTACATACCTAGTACTGTTTTTTTTTTCTAGATGAGCAGGGACAGCAGGATGGGCTCGGTATGCAGCGCTATCCTTTACAGTCTTGAGTATCTGTGGTTCAATCCCCAGTCGGGTAGAAACAGTGTATAGTTCCTTACACCTTCTGTCCCTGTTCACCTAGCAGTAAGTAGGTACCTGGGTGTAAGTTAACTGGTGTGCATTGCATCCTGGGGGGCAAAATTGAAGGACCCCAATGGAAATAAGACAGACAGTCCTTGATGATGCACCAACTTTTTTTGCATTATCCTGGATGGCTAACCCTCTGAGTTAAAAATCCCAACATATCTTATCAAATCTCAACATTTCACTCGTGCCAGAATTGATCCCCAGACCCCCAGTGTGTGAGCTGATCATATTATTAACCAAGCCATGAGCTCTATATCATGGTTTTTTGATGCTGTATGAGAAGGTGATAATAGTAGTGCTTTCGTGCCAATGTGAGGATAATAGAATAGTAATATTAGTTAGTTTAATATATTTATTATGCAGCCATACCCCCATCCTGTGGGCATTTAGTACAAGATTACAGAAAGGCAATAATACGGCCAAAAGTTTTGATTGTAAAGTTTACAACTGGTAATGAAATTCGTATTTTTTGGGTTAATATTTGGTTAACAGTTTTTTTTTTGTTTTTTTTTCAACAAGTCGGCCGTCTCCCACCGAGGCAGGGTAACCCAAAAAAAGTAAGAAAATCCCCAAAAAGAAAATACTTTCATCATCATTCAACACTTATTACACATTCAAACATTTTCTATGCTTTTGCAGAGGTGATCTTGTTTACAAAACAGCTTAGAAGCTTATACCGTATAAAGATACACAAAATATCCCTCCAAACTTGCCAATATCCCAATCCCCCCTTTAATGTGCATGCATTGTACTTCCATTTCCAGGACTCAAGTCGACTATATGAACATAACCGGTTTCCCTGATCCTTCACTAATATTACCCTGCTCACCTCCAACAGATCGCAGGTCCCAAGTATCATTCGCTCCATTCACTCCTATCTAACACGCTTCATGCACGCTTGCTGGAAGTCCAAGCCCTAGCCCACAAAACCCTTTACACCTCTTTCCAACCCTTTCGAGGACAACCCCTACCCCTCCTTCCTTCCTATAGTTTATATGCTTTCATGTATTCTACTTTGATCCATTCCTCTAATGACCAAAACCACCTCAACAACCCCTCTTCTGCCTTGGACTATGTTTTATAACTCCACACCTTCTCCTAATTTCCACCCACTCGAATTTTCAGCATAATATTTACACCACACATTGCCCTTAGGACAGGACAACTCACTGCTCAAACCGTTCTCCATGCTGCTGCCATTTACCACCCAAGCTTCACATCCATATAAGGAGTGTTGGTACTACTATACTTTATACATTCCCTTCTTTTGCCTCATAGATACGTTTTTTGACATCCACATATACTCAACGCACCACTCACCTTTTTTCCCTCATCAATTCTAGATTAAACCTCATCCTTCATAAATCATCCGCCGACACGTTCAATCCCAAGTATTCTGAAAACATTCACTTCTTCCATACTCCTCCTCCCCAATTTGATATCCAATTTTTCTTTATCTAAATCATTTGATACCCTCATCACCTTACTCTTTTCTATGTTCACTTTCAACTTTCTACCTTTACACACATTCTCAAACTCATCCACTAACCTTTGCAATTTTTCTTTAGAATCTCCCATAAGCACAGTATCATCAGCAAAAAGTAACTGTGTCAATTCCCATTACAGTTGTAATGAGTTATTTATAAAGATGAATTAAGTCACAAAAATATTACAATGTAGCTTATATGTAGTTGTAAATTATTTATATTGCTTTATATTTTAGCAAGGTACCTGGAGTTTACCTGGAGAGAGTTTCGGGGGTCAACGCCCCCGCGGCCCGGTCTGTGACCAGGCCTCCTGGTGGATCAGCGCCTGATCAACCAGGCTGTTGCTGCTGGCTGCACGCAAACCAACGTACGAGCCACAGCCCGGCTGATCAGGAACTGACTTTAGGTGCTTGTCCAGTGCCTGCTTGAAGACTGCCAGGGGTCTGTTGGTAATCCCCCTTATGTGTGCTGGGAGGCAGTTGAACAGTCTCGGGCCCCTGACACTTATTGTATGGTCTCTTAACGTGCTAGTGACACCCCTGCTTTTCATTGGGGGGATGGTGATCGTCTGCCAAGTCTTTTGCTTTCGTATGTGAGTGATTTTCGTGTGCAAGTTCGGTACTAGTCCCTCTAGGATTTTCCAGGTGTATATAATCATGTATCTCTCCCTCCTGCGTTCCAGGGAATACAGTTTAGAAACCTCAAGCGCTCCCAGTAATTGAGGTGTTTTATCTCCGTTATGCGCGCCGTGAAAGTTCTCTGTACATTTTCTAGGTCGGCAATTTCACCTGCCTTGAAAGGTGCTGTTAGAGTGCAGCAATATCCAGCCTAGATAGAACAAGTGACCTGAAGAGTGTCATCATGGGCTTGGCCTCCCTAGTTTTGAAGGTTCTCATTATCCATCCTGTCATTTTTCTAGCAGATGCGATTGATACATGTTATGGTTCTTGAAGGTGAGATCCTCCGACATAATCACTCCCAGGTCTTTGACGTTGGTGTTTCCTCTATTTCGTGGCCAGAATTTGTTTTGTACTCTGATGAAGATTTAATTTCCTCATGTTTACCATATCTGAGTAATTGAAATTTCTCATCGTTGAACTTCATATTGTTTTCTGCAGCCCACTGAAAGATTTGGTTGATGTCCGCCTGGAGCCTTGCAGTGTCTGCAATGGAAGACACTGTCATGCAGATTCGGGTGTCATCTGCAAAGGAAGACACGGTGCTGTGGCTGACATCCTTGTCTATGTCGGATATTGAGGATGAGAAACAAGATGGGAGCTAGTACTGTGCCTTGTGGAACAGAGCTTTTCACCGTAGCTGCCTCGGACTTTACTCTGTTGACGACTACTCTCTGTGTTCTGTTAGTGAGGAAATTATAGATCATCAACCGACCTTTTCCTGTTATTCCTTTAGCGCGCATTTTGTGCGCTATTACGCCATGGTCACACTTGTCGAAGGCTTTTGGCAAAGTCTGTATATATTACATCTGCATTCTTTTTGTCTTCTGTGCATTTAGGACCTTGTCGTAGTGATCCAGTAGCTGAGACAGACAGGAGCGACCTGTTCTAAACCCATGTTGCCCTGGGTTGTGTAACTGATGGGTTTCTAGATGGGTGGTGATCTTGCTTCTTAGGACCCTTTCAAAGATTTTTATGATATGGGATGTTAGTGCTATTGGTCTGTAGTTCTTTGCTGTTGCTTTACTGCCCCCTTTGTGGAGTGGGGCTATGTCTGTTGTTTTTAGTAACTGAGGGACGACCCCCGTGTCCATGCTCCTCTCCATAGGATGGAAAAGGCTCGTGATAGGGGCTTCTTGCAGTTCTTGATGAACACAGAGTTCCATGAGTCTGGCCCTGGGGCAGAGTGCATGGGCATGTCATTTATCGCCTGTTCGAAGTCATTTGGCATCAGGATAACATCGGATAGGCTTGTGTTAATCAAATTTTTGGCTCTCTCATAAAAAATTCATTTTGATCTTCGACTCTCAGTCTGGTTAGCGGCTTGCTAAAAACTGAGTCATATTGGGACTTGAGTAGCTCACTCATTTCCTTGCTGTCATCTGTGTAGGACCCATCTTGTTTAAGTAGGGGCCCAATACTGGGCGTTGTTCTCGATTTTGATTTGGCATAGGAGAAGAAATACTTTGGGTTTCTTTCGATTTCATTTATAGCTTTTAGTTCTTCCCGCGATTCCTGACTCCTAAAGGATTCTTTTAGCTTAAGTTCGATGCTTGCTATTTCTCTGACCAGTGTCTCCCTGCGCATTTCAGATATATTGACCTCTTTTAGCCGCTCTGTTATTCTTTTCCGTCGCCTGTAAAGGGAGCGCCTGTCTCTTTCTATTTACATCTACTCCTCCTTTTTCTTAGAGGAATAAGCCTTGTGCATACATCGAGTGCCACCGAGTTAATCTGTTCTAGGCATAAGTTGGGGTCTGTGTTGCTTAGTATATCTTCCCAGCTTATATCGGTTAGGACTTGGTTTACTTGGTCCCACTTTATGTTTTTGTTATTGAAGTTGAATTTGGTGAATGCTCCCTCGTGACTAGTCTCATTTTGTCGGTCTGGGGCTCCTCGCATGAATTTAAACAAGTTTAAGTGGTTATGCATTATTTACAATAGGCAAAACAGGGTATTTTCCCAGAATGATTGGTAACATACCATTGTAGATAAATGCAGTACATACTTGAACGTTTCTGAGTGAGTGGTCTAGGTGCTCCTCTTCTGCAGGACCCCAATGGAAATAAGTCACTGACTTTTTTGGGGGTTAACCTAGGTAATCTACCCATATATTACTATGTATGATAATTGTAATCACCTCAATTTGCTTAGCTGTACTTATGCATAACTGCACCTAAATAAACTTACTGTCGTGAAATTTGCTTTGAGGTTTCTACTGCTGCTGCAGACTGCCACAGACAGGACTCAGCAGTGCTTTCTCTGAAACTTTACAGTAGTGCCTGTAGTTATGTAAGTGTATTTTTTAAGTGCTTTTGTAAGTGTATTTTTGGGGGTCTGAAACGTTAGTTTAGTTTAATATGTTTATTATGCACCCCATACCCATCCTGTGGGCGGTAGTCAAAAGATTACAGAGGTACATAATTGGTCCAGGGACTGGACTCCAAAGTTTTGATAGCTGAGCAAGTTACAATGGTAATGAACTAGATCTGGTCATAATCATGACCAAGTTACAAAGGTAATGAGCTCCAGGTAGAGCTGGTCACACTCATGAATAATTGCAAAGGTAATGAATCATAAACACATTAATCATGAGAATTTACAAAGGTAATGAGCTCCAGGTAGAGCTGGTCAAAATCATGACAAGTTTCAAAGGTAATGAATGATAAACACGTTATCACATGATTACAATCATAGACAAATTACAGAGTAATGAGCAGTTAACAAACTAGTAGGGAATTCATCCATTGCCCCAACAACAGATGTTGCTAAGTGCCTGTCTCTCCTCAGTAGACAGCCATTGCAAACAGCAGCAAGTTCCCCTGGGATCTGCTGCTTGCACGAGCACCATCGACCCTCCCCAAGAGGTCCAAGAAGCCAGTGACTCCGTTAGCAGCCCGATGGAGAGCTCCCCTAGGGACATGTCAGCGTCCTGGTGGACGCCAAGTTGATTGAAGATCCCAGGCCCTCGTGTGCACGGATGTTGAAGCTTGAGGAACTGAGTACACACTGCCTGTGGCACACCTGACAGCTGCCTCGCGGTCGAACTCCACGATGCTGTCCCTGTAGTGGAAGTTCCTGTGAGCCCGGCACTCCCTGCAGTGCCATCGTGGGTTAGGGGAGAAGTACCCTCTACAGATGGGGTGGCGCTGGGAGTTGGGTGGGTGAGGCGGGGGAGATGCGCAGGGGTGAGGCGTTATGAGAGGGTCACTGTTTACTACACATGCCCTCCCCCTCCCCTCCAGCGGAGAGGGGGGGAGGCGCTGACTGGTCCTGACTCGACAACACCAAATCCTCTGAAACTGCACAACACTTCAACTATTTACGCTGAAACGATGCACTGGGATGTCCGTTCGCTGCTCTGGTATCTTCTCAAAGCATTCACACTGAGTTCTGTTAAGTAGGGACCTGGTCAGCCTCTTTGACTAGGAGCTATCCTTGAAAATCCCGCAGCTAGCCCGCTACACAACCTGCCGTGTCGACCATGTTAAGCCCTGTGAGCTGATCTAATTTACATTATTCCTTATGGGAACAAATTCGTTCGGAATCGGCACTCGAACAGCCTTCTGGAACGAATTAGGCTCATAACTCGAGGTACCACTGCATTAGAAGCCCTGTAACTCAGTGGCAAGTAGTGAGCCTGTTACTCTCAGGACTACAGTTCAGGCTCCTATCCACTTTTCTGTGTACAGTGGACCCCCGCATAACGATTACCTCCGAATGCGACCAATTATGTAAGTGTATTTATGTAAGTGCATTTGTACGTGTATGTTTGGGGGTCTGAAATGGACTAATCTACTTCACAATATTTCTTATGGGAACAAATTCGGTCAGTACTGGCACCTGAACATACTTCTGGAGTGAAAAAATATCGTTAACCGGGGGTCCACTGTATGTATTCATTTACAGTTGTTCATTATAACTTGAATTTAGTTCACAGATTGTGGCTTTGAGGGAGGTGAAGATAGATTTACTGTGAAGGTTGCTGAGGTTGTGGGAAGGAAGAATTGGGATGCAGATAGTAAGACTCAAAATTCATCAAAGGTATATCAGATGGTGGCCTCTGATGCATACAGGACAAAACAATACCCTAAAACAACATAAACATGAAAACACACACACATACACACACACTGTTAGCAGTCTTGTATATAGTGTTGTGAGGGTTTGTTATCAAAGAAATTGGAATTATGTTTCCCTTCAGATCAAATTCAATTACCCACTCATCTCTCGCAGTCCCCTTGTGGCGTTCGACTCTTATGGGTTAAATGCTTTCACATAATAATAATAATAATAATAATAATAATAATAATAATTTATACTGTTGCTGCTGATGCTTCTGAGGTCATATTCTAATGTTTATTTACTTTTTTCAGAGCTGTTAACTTCAGTAGTGTGGTTATTCTTTGGTTGACATCTGTAACCAATTTCAAGAGTTTTTCTACTCTCAGCCCAGCCTTAAATAAGGCTCCTCTGGTGACTGCCTCATTAAATAGGCTCTTGCTGCTTGTGACCTGTATTCTCAAATTATAAACCTTCTAGAATCAAGTACATAAAATGTGTGCACAAAGGCTTTGGCCAACTGTACAGGCCCTCGGGCGAGGTTTGATCAACAACAGGACAGAGATTATCCAGCAAGGTGTAAAAGCTTATAATGTGCAAAATTTTAATAATGGTCATCTTGGCCAGGGACACCAACAGAGCCACGTGGTTGGTCACGATTGCTTCTCAACGACACAACGTGCCACACATACTGTTCGGGGATCATTCAACAAAGTTGTTACTCGATCTCTGCACTCAGGAACAGTATTTTTTGTAAAGGAATTTTGTGACTCTGAAAATGAGCATGCACATGCTATTTTGCGCTCTTTACCTGCTTACCATGAAACTACAGTGGCTGGAGACAGTGTTTTAAATCATTCTTTTTATCAACATGCAGTTCAACTCTCAGACTCAGAATGGGCAAGATGTAGTCCTGAGGAGGTGGCAAATGGATTTATTGCCATGTCTCAGCTGTGTCGTCACCGTCCCATGGACCTGGAGGAATCGCAACATTCTGGGCTATGTAATACACTTAGTAGCAAATTAACACAAATAAGTGATAACCAGCTCCTAATGGTATTGTCGGCTCTCTCCCTTTGGCCTCCCACTGATGGCACTACTACCCCAAATTTTGTGGTATTGTGGAATGCTTTGGACCAGGCATGCACTGAGCGTATGCGTCGGTGGGACATGGGAAAGATGTTCTTGGTGGCTGATCATTGGTTTGCATTGCGGCTATCCAGAATTTCCATGTACAATGTACGAATGACTAAAATTTTGGGGAGAAAAGTGACTTCAATGGCCCCAACCCAGTTGGTGCAGTATCTTTTTTATGCTAATTTGAGTCGAAAATTAGAACCTTTTATAGTTAAGAAGGAAATAGAAAAGCGCCTTACTGAAGTGCTAGAACTAATTTCAATAGAAGAACTTGGTGTAATTGCAATGGGCTTCTTTAAAACTCAGACATTTCTTGAAGATGAAAAACTCATAGAAGTCATCATTAAAAAAACTAAAGATGATTTAGAATTTGTGTCGGATGCTTCTTTGTGTGCCATTTTGAAACTGCTACGAAAAAGTGTTCCTGTCACACAGTGGAAATTGTTACATGAACTATTGGACTCTCTTCAGCCACACCTGGACAGACTCAACAACATGTGTCTCCTTCAGGTTGCTCTGCTAGGAAATGATCTCCTTATCTTTCATCCTCAAGTTATTGACACAATTGCTTCAAAATTTGCCAATGAGATGACAGTCTTACGATTAAAAGATATAGAGAGAATAACATTTGCATTGATGTTGTACAACTATGTGCCTCCTAGCCAACCTGACATGTTTAACCTGATCGCAAAAGAATTGAGGCGTCCCGAGAGATTATTAGAGATTAACCACTATCCAAAGTGTTTTGTGTCATGTGTAGTGTATCTCATGACAATGGGCTTACTTCCTCAAGACCTTATCTCTGCTGCCCTCCAGCCTTCCATGCTTAATCTCCTCAAAAGTGAGTAACAGCTATTTATTTTATCCTTTATTAGTTTGGCCTGCTTTCAAGGCAGTGACGATGCTGGTGAAGGACTTGTGATGCAAGGAATTAGATACCTTTTCCTCCAGTGCTTCCCTATGAGTATACTGTAATAGTAATATAATTTATGTAAATTCTCTTAATCAGTGGGAAGTGCTAAACTGACAAAAGTTGTAGTGCCTGGGGAGTGAGTCATTAAGGTTCAATTCAAGGAAAGGGAGAGTAAGTTCAGTTTCTTGAATCAAGACCCTTGTGGGCTTAGTGCTTAGTTTTGATTATATAAATAATTGAATCAAGGGCCCCTCACTGGCATCAAGGCACCCTTCCTCTACTTGAAGGATTATAATGCTGTAATATACTACTGTAATAATATTAGTTTGGCTTAATATACAAACTTCTGAAAATGAAAGTGGTACACACTACTATATAATATTTATGTAATAGAGTTTTAATTGTTTTAGTGAGCCGGAATTACACTTCTATGGGTCGTGAGGTTAATGAGCTTGACTGGACACTGGATATTGAGGGTCCTCCAAATTATCGAGGATACAGACTTTCACGTGAAATGCGAACCCAGTTAACTAAGGTAATTTGCTCTTTAAATTATGTTCTCATTGTGTAGGCTATTATTTTAGATTACCAGCATTTATTAAGAGTCAGGAATATCTTTATTCATGCTTTTAAAATCTCAGTTGAAAGTGCCATTTACCTTTACTACCCTCCTCCTCACCCCTTTTCCATATTCCATCCTTACCTATCTTTCCTTCCCAACTTACCAAACCTCTGGTTAAATAATAATAATAATAATAATAATAATAATAATTATAATCTTTATTTCTCAAGTATGTGTACAAGGTATACAGGCCTAGCTAACATCAATGACATACAGCTTCTCCTCAATGATGGAGTTCCATTCCTAAGACAACGTTGGTAAACGAATTCATCGCTAAGCAAGGAGCATACTATAATGGTAGTGGGTTTGTGTCAACCATCTTTGATATTGTTTTAATGTCACCTTTGCACCATTTATAACATTTCTGGTACGTATATTTTTGAATGTTTATATGTACATTAGTTTGCTGTATATTGTAATAAACAGAATACATAGAGGAAATCAGCTCTAATACACATTATTTAGGTATGCATACTGGTCAGAGAGCCCATCGTAATTCCGAGTCGTCAGTAAATGAGTATGTCGCTAAGTGAGGAGAGGCTGTATTACTAGATAGAAAGTTTATTTCCTCCCTCCCCATGAATGTAGTAATAACGAAATGAAAAATAGATTGAGAGAGTGCTTTATTGGTGGTCTCCCTGGCTATTTTCCCATCGCTTGTAGTTAATTTAATATTGAGCAACCTATGGGGTGAATTAAATACTTTTACTGTTTGGTTTTCACTTAACATTCTAGTTAACAATAATATATTAGGAGTGTCTCCCTGTGACTTGTGATTGTTTAACAATTAAAGACAGTGTCAAGAAATAGAGTACACATATCATGGATGGATATACTATAGTATATTGACCATCTGATATTATTAAAAAATATCAATACAATTTAGTCCCAGCTCTGTTAACTTTACAGTAGAACCCTCCAAAGGAGAAGCAATACCTGTTGTTCAGTGTTTCCAAAAACATACCCTCCAACAGGGTTCCTTGATGCTGGCAAAGGGCTCCTAATAAAAGGAATTGGAGCCACCCTTTCATTGGATCAAGCCTGATACTTTTCATTCCCTAGGGTCTGTATTATTCTTGTAGTCTTAGCATTTCTCAGGAATAATAATAATAAGTCTTAAATTTGTACATATATATATATATTCATTATGCGTTTCATTATAATTTAATAATGAATCTCATACTATACTATCCTTTCAGCAATACATGGGAAACCTACCCACAGGCCCTAGCAAAAATCTGACTCATCAAGAACGCTTACTTCTAGAAGTTAAAGACAAACTTGCGGCCTTATTGGGAGGTTTACACCTCATCACAATCACACATGCACTTCCCCATATCCAGAATCCAGGTTAATATATAGTGTTGTTACTGAAAATTTAACTGATTTTTTTTCATATTGATTTAAAAATATATTTTTGAAAGCTAAGTAAAGAATTCAGTGCAGTTTCTCAGCCAATTTGTCAATGGACTTGTCATTTGTTTGCCGTGCTTATGGTTTCACTGGGGGCCACTGAAGTAATATTGATCTAGTGTTTATGGTTTCTAACAGATCTGATATTTTGCACCACAAATAATGGAGACCCTGTATCACTACCTCAAGAGTACCTTGGCCTTGCTCCTACATCACTTAAGTGTCCCATAGAGCACATTGGTGGTGTGCAGTGGAATGCTGTCATCGTTGCTGGACGAAATTCCTTTATTCGCAACAGTGATACTTTGCGAGGCAATATAGATATGAAGAAGAGACAGCTAAATAAATTAGGTTATCATGTTTCAGTGGTAAGTTGTACTCAAATTTGTTTACAAAGAGTGAAAAAGTACTAATCTGTTCCACAACAATACTGTATACAAGTACTTACTAATTACAAGTGGGATGCATATGTATTCACAAGGATAACTTTCAAGATTTTGTAGCTGCCTCTTAACAATGATTGGTGCAGTGTTTCTCGAGCCTTATGGGCTTTTATCATGCCTTGCAGAATTTCTAATTTCTCTAGGTTCAAAAGGGATTTTGTAGCCCATAATAATACTGCATATTACAGTTTTGGTTTTAACTGCTAAATTGGTATTCATGAAGTTACTGGCAGGAGTGTTCATCTGGGTTAGCAGTCAATAAGTTTTAATTTAGGGGCATTTGGTATCCTGGCCATTCTTCCTTTCTCCTTTGCTGTTGGTTTCAGGGAAGCTTTTAACAGGTTCTAATGACAATTCAGTGGCATTCTGTTTTCAATGGCCATGTCTCTGAAAATCTTGCCTTTAATGCAAATTCACTATTTTTTTCAGATTACACCCCTGGGGGAAAGCTCTCTTGATCTAAAGAATTGAACTTTCTCTCCCCTTCCTTTAATCAAGCCTTATTATATTTGATTTTCCCAGACATTACATGACCCCTATGGGTTAAGTGCTTCCCTCTAAATATAAAAATAACTTTTCAACTAAAGCTGATTTATCCCTTCAAGGGAAATGTTTTAGTACTATTGACCAGTTCTTGATCTCAGAAATTTGAGCTATAATCCCTTTCCTTGACTCAAAATTTATTAGTTGTCATTTCCCTGGTTCTGCACACTTACCATAAATATAATCAAATGCAATAAATTTTGTTCTTTGGGATAATTTACAGGTACAGTGGACCCCCGAGTTTTGTGATTAATCCGTTCCAGAGAGCCTGCCGAAAGTCAAAATTCATGAAACTCGAAACCATTTTCCCCATAAGAAATAATGGATATAAAATTAATCCGTTCCAGACACCCAAAAATATTAAAATAAAATATTTTTTTTCAAATTAAATAAAGATTTACATACTGAAATCAATGAGAAATCAAGTACATGCATATAAAAAATAATAATAACATTACACTTACCTTTACTGAAGACTACTGGGTGGATGGAAGATGGGAGGAGGGAATAGGAGGAAGGTGTTCACTATTGTTTGGAAGGAAAATCTCCTTCCATTAGGACTTTAGGTAGCAAGTCCTTATCTGGGGTTACTTTCCTTCTTTTAATGCCACTGGGAACAACTTGAGAGTCACTGGACCCCTGTCTCACAAAATATGTCCAGAGAGGTCTTTTCTGGCGTTTCTTTTAAGATTTTCCTGAAGTGGGACACAACACTGTCATTGTACATGTTGCAGATATGGCTTGTTTCAGCTTGGTCAGGGTGATACTTTTCAACAATACTTTGCAACTCATTCCACTTAGCACAAATCTCCTTAATATTTTAAGAAGGCACCTCATCCACTCCCTCTTCCTCCTCCTCTGAAGCAAGTTCCTCGGCTGTGGTCTGATGCTGTTCCAGTCGAAGCTCTTGCAGTTTGTCAGTGGTTAGCTCTTCCCTGTGGTCCTCCACCAACTCTTCCACATCCCTGTCACTCACCTCCAACCCCATGGACTTGCCCAATGCCACAACACCTTCCACAACAGGCAGAGGGTTGGCAGGGACAGGGTCTGCCTCAAACCCTTCAAAATCCCTCTGGATTGTGTTCCTCACTTTATTTACCAAAGGGCTTGCACTAGCTTTCCTTGGGTCCACGATTACTTATTTAGCAGTTGCAAGCACAAAAAACAATGGATTATTATGAAATGTATTGTATGAACCCGCGGGGTGATGGTCACGTGTTGGTAAACAATGGCACACTGAGCGTGAATGGCGTGGGAGACTGGCTTGGTGTGCGCGGTGATGGGTTGACGGGTACTGGACGGTCGCCGAAACACGAGTCTAATCACAAAACTCGAGGCCAAATTTTGCCAAAAAAACACCGAAGGTCAAATTTCACGAAAGTCGAGGGTCCACTGTATGTATGTAATTTTCCATTTCCATTTTCAGTTTTTATTCTATATTTTATTATTTTTATTCCAGGTCCCATACATGGAATACACTCGTAAAAGTTTACGTGCGAAGCTCTGTTGTTTGGAACGCTGCTTAAATGAAGGTTCTACTCTTGATACCAGTGGCCGCTTGGACAATGCCTGGGTTGTGCTGAAAGGTCAGGCAGAACGACAAGAAGAGATAAATGGATGAGTCATTACAAGCTATTTGCAGCGAGTTGTGGTGTAGTTGGCTGCACACTGCATTTATATCCAATGACTGACACAGAGTTCAATGACTCATGGATGCTGCTAAATACTTCACAGTTAATGGTGGCTTTAGTTTTTATTGATACTTTGGGCTGAAGATCAACATTATTTGCATTGAATTATGTTCATATTCTTGAGCGAAGAGGTAAGAATTTGGGGCAAATGTTAGTCGTTTTTAGTTTGCAGTTGAGATAGGAAAAATTACTGAAAAGGTAGTGTTTTTGCAAAGTTAGGTTCACCAGCATTTCATCAAAGTGAGATTTTTGCAGTGACTGGTAAATGATAATTATTAAGTATTAGTCTTTATTTTTTAGTTAATATCATTAGTGAATGAATAGCAGTCTACATTCATAGGCTAATGAGGATTTAGACGAGGCAGAAAATTGCCTGTACTGGCTTGGTAATAATGAAGAGCCCAGTGGAATGTCCGCTGTTGCTGCTGCCGTAATTTTGCATAGCAGATGTCTGCTGCAGTCAGTGAAATATTGCTTGAACTTGAATAAATATAATTCATAGCAGGTGGGAAAGACTTTAAATCTTAAAACATTTATTGAAGTACATATCAATGTTTAGGTAATTAAATCAGTCCCCATAATCAGAATTTGTTTCTAAAACATGACATAACATTGAGCAAAGCATAATACTGAAAATACAAGAAAACATTAACAGACCATGAGAAAATTATTATTACTATAATAAAAAAAACGCTAAATCTACAAGGGTCATACAGCGCTGCTGGGCAGGGAAGGATGCAGGGGTACCATGAGAAACTTTTTAGTTTAAATTAGTTTTTTTTTTTTCTCATGCTTTGATAATATTCTATATTCTCACTGTGATTTGTACACTTAGAGCTCGTTCCAGAAATGAATACTGGTAACACCGATTTCAAGTCTTTCCTGCTTGGTAATGGCAAGCACACTTAATGTAGTGAAGTCTTTATTGGTATTGTGTTCCACCCCACAAAGTGGGCTTAATCAGATACATGGAAAAATTTTAAATTTTTTATTAGGCATCTGGGGCAAGTGAACCTGTGTAACTAATAGGCTGCACAAATATAAGAACAAGAAGGGTTGGATCCACGTAGGTCCTGTCTAGCATTAGCCAGATAGTTGTACCGCAAGAGTCCACTGGTCAATGCTAGATTTTCTTTGTACCAATATAAGGTATGCTAGGGTAATCTCCAGACTGAACGCGACTTGAGATACCTATGTTTAACCTTGTTTTCTTGAAACAGTAGCTATAGCCCTGGCTTTATGTGGGAATGGATGTTACAGTGTTGTATACATGTGTATTTGTGTTCTTGTCAGCATGTGGGAAGACTCCTGTCAGTTTCACCAATGTAAACTCTCGCATCCACTACAGCAGGTGCTGTAGACTTGCATCCCTGGGTCCTTTGTAGGACCTTGTGATATGTCTGATGGTTTTGGGAATAGTCACAGCAATATTGAAGTTAAATTTGCATAGTATATGGGCCACAGCAAACAGTGATCCCTATACTATACGAATTGAACAATGATATTGCCGTGGCTATCGTCCTAAACCATCACACATTGTAAAGACCTAAATCTATACCCTACACAGAACTCAAGGAGTCTACAGCATCCACTATAGTTGATATGACAAAGTTTACATTGGTGAAACTCATAGGAGTCTTCCCATGTGTCTACAAGAACACAAATATGCCTCTAGACTGAACAACAACACACCATCCACTCTCACATTATGCATGGAACAGAACCATGCTAGTTACTGTTTCAGAATAACAAGAAGCAATGTCATCTGTACCCTAACTAAATGTCATAGAAAACTGTGGCATATTCATTTTGGTGACTTCCATAACACACCTTACCTTGGAACAAAAAATAGTGTGGGCTAGTAGACTTTAATTAAGCAATTAGCATACTTACCCTCAACTGGCTCATTCTAGGTGTCATACTGAATCCAACTTTTTTCATACGATACCTGGTCTTGGACCGAGCCATGGGACGTTGATCCCCAGAACACCCCCTAGACATATAAGCTGTAATTTTCTCATTCCATGTATTATACAATCACTGTAAGACCCTGTAGGTTTAGCACTTTTGATAATAATAATATTACAATCAAACAGTGCTAAACCCTCAAGTCATACAGTGCTGCAGGGTAGGGCATGCTAAAGGTTTAATATGCTTGGTTACATTCAAGTGAGGGTGAAGAGTATAACAAGGTAGTAAGGGTGGTGAGGAGTGCTAAAAAGTGAGGGTGAAGAGAATAACAAGGTACTAAGGGTGGTGAGGAGTACTAAAAAGTGAGGGTGAAGAGTATAACAAGGTACTAAGGGTGGTGAGGAGTACTAAAAAGTGAGGGTGAAGAGTATAACAAGGTACTAAGGGTGGTGAGGAGTACTAAAAAGTGAGGGTGAAGAGTATAACAAGGTACTAAGGGTGGTGAGGAGTACTAAAGGAAGCATAATTAAAGTTGGTTTAATAAAACTGTTGCTGACAAAAAGCCAAAGAGGAGTCTGCATCAAAGGTGCAGGTATTTATTAATGTACTTGTAAGTGAAATGCTATACCCATAAAGACTACCTCACTGTATTGTGCTTGCCAACATTACGCCTTCATTTCTGCACTGTGTAGCATTCCTACCAGTCAGGTTTATGTCAAAATTGGTGTAGCGTTTGTGAAAAAATTCCCAGTGATGCTTCTTACAATAGTTTTTCCCTATTTAGCTGGGAAGAGATAAAATTAGATATACTATTATCTTATAGTAATTACTATAATTTTTTCTTCACAAATGAAAAATAACATTGTTTCTCTTCCCCCCGCCCCCCATTTAAGGTGCAATTGTTTATGTTGTATATTACTTACGACGAGTGATAAAAAGATTCAAGAGAATATAAAAACCTTTATTTTTAGTTAGAAGATGTTTTATCCACTTGAAAAAGTTCAACACATGTGCACAAGTTCATGTATTTGTATAAATAAAGGTTTCTCTGTTTTCTAGGCTATTGCTGCAATTTCACTTGCTTATGCAGACTCTTCCATGTTAAATGTGTTACTAAAGTGGAATTGTCTGGTACAGTACCTTGATTACCAATATGGATTTGGATTACCTTTATCACTTTTTAGTTCATTCAAAACAATCTAGATAAAGAATGCTTACATTGCATGAAAAATTTATTCCAGAGTCAAAAAAGTATCTGACTTATCTACAGTGTTGGTACAATATAAAGGAGAGAAGGGTTGACTCAAGAAATCGTAATGACACGATTGCAAATAAACCATGAGACTCTATGACCGCGGGTTCAATCCCGGCCGGGGGTATGGTTTTTTTGGGAGAGAAGGGTTGATTACTCATAATTTAGCACCTATGATAGGCTGGGATACACAATGGTTGAGTGCCTTTTGTGAATAGGTCAAGATGGTTAAAAGATTAATTATTATTATTATTATTAGGAGGGGTTTGGGATATTAGCAGTTTGGAGGGATATGTTGTGTATCTCTATACGTATATGCTTCTAAACTGTTGCATTCTGAGCACCTCTGCAAAAACAGTGATAATGTGTGAGTGTGGTGAAAATGTTGAATGGTGATGAAAGTATTTTCTTTTTGGGGATTTTCTTTCTTTTTTGGGTCACCCTGCCTCGGTGGGAGACGGCCGACTTGTTGAAAAAAAAAAAAATTATTATTATAATCAAAAAGAAGCGCTAAGCCACAAGGGCTATACAGCGCTGCAGAGTAGGGAAGGAAGCGAGGGTATTGGGCGGCAGGAGGGGGGAGGGATGATCAGTAGGTTACAGAAAACAGCGGGGCAGGGGATAGTGCGGGGGTAGAGGGTAGCAAGAGATTGAGGTAGAAAGGGTTGAAGGTATCATCAGAGTTTGTGAAGTAAGTCAGTTGTTGTCAAAAAGTCAATGAGAGAGTCCGGATGAAAGGTGGGTCCATCAGCGAGAAGGGAAGGTAAAGAGAGAGTAGCGGAGTGAAGACGATGACGGAGGTAAATTCTGCGTGCTCGTTGATAAGGTGGGCAGTCTAACAGAATGTGGCTGACTGATAATGGAACCTGACAGTTCTCACAGAGAGGAGCAGGGCGCCTCTCCATGAGTAAGACGAGTATGGCAAAAAGATTAATAGTACAGTGGACCCCTGCATAGCGACCTTAATCCGTGCAAGAGGGCTGATTGTTATGCGAAATCTTCGGTATGCGAATGAATTTTCCCCATAAGAAATAATGGAAATCAAATTAATCCGTGCAAGACACCCAAAAGTATGAAAAAAAAATTTTTACCACATGAAATATACATTTTCTTACACACAAAGAGAAGGATACATGCACAATAGTAGAGTAGTACATGCACAATATATATTGTGCATGTACTACTCTACTAAATGAAGAATAAATGACACTTACCTTTATTGAAGATGCAGCAATGACTGATGAGACACTGTGTCCTGGGAGTGCCTTTTCCTCCTGAGTACTGTAGGTCCTGTTTGGCATTTTCTTCCAAAACAGGCCTTATCACACTGTGTATGCCACTACGATTCTTAAATCTCTCAAACCAACCTTTGCTGGCTTTAAATTCACCAATATGAGCACTAGTTCCAGGCATTTTTCCCTGTTCACCTGGGTGTTAGTCAACTGGTGTGGGTTGCATCCTGGGAGACAAGATTAAGGACCCCAATGGAAATAAGTTAGACAGTCTTCGATGACACTGACTTTTTTGGGTTATCCTGGGTGGCAAATCCTCTGGGGTTAATTGTTTCTTGGTATTCTCAATAAGCCACACCAACAACGGTGCTACAGCAGCAGCAGCAGCTGACGGTGGTACAGCAGCAACAGACTATGCTACAGCAGCAACAGACGATGCTACAGCAGCAGCAGACGGTACTACAGCAGCAGCTGATGGTGGTACAACAGCAGCAGCAGCTGTACCACCAATAGTAGCGATGGTTGATTGGGGTTTATTATACAACCTGGCCAGCTCGGAACACGCACTCCACTTTCATACTTATCAATGATCTTTTTCTTCATCTCTATAGTAATTCTCACCCTTATTGCTGTAGGGTTGGCACTAGAAGCTTTCTTGGGGCCCATGGTCACTTATTTTCCAGAAAAAATCACCAAAAACACTGTAATAATACGAAATGTTCCGATTGTATGCTTAGATGTTACCGCGGAGGCTGGCTGGTAAACAATGCCACCGGCGGAACATGTGAGCGTGGCTCAGGCCGCACATTGGACGCGTCTCGGACGAAGAGCGGTGAGCGGGTTTTTGGGCGGTATGCGAGGCAAAATTTTTGCGGTATGCGGATTGTACGGTATGCGATGCGTGCGGTATGCGGGGGTCCACTGTATTATGTTGATTCTCAATAAAACTCTTTAAGGTACACTATCACTCGCCCAAGCATTTTGCCAGTTAACTGCTTGCTGCTAAATGACTGTAGGAAACACGGCCAATGTCTACCTACCCCAGAATTGAACCAGGGATCTTTGCAAAGCGTAAATTCATTCTTAAAGCAAAAACTGAAAAAAAAAATAAAGCACAAAATTATCTTTAATGGTATTGAGTAGAATTAAGTTATATTACATTAATTTTAGCAATAGCATATCTTGTCAGCTTTATTTTTGTAACACTACTGTAATTTTTGTCTTCCCATTGAATTTTATCCTGAAATACCTGACCTAAACAATTTCTTGTCAACCACTCATTTAAATGGAATTTTAAATTAGTGGATTTTATCATAGAATATTTGTTTTATATCTTGCATTGTTTTCACCAGTAAAATATCAATTAAGATATTCTTCACAGTATATTAAAGGCAGGAATGGATGTTCGGTAAGAAGTACTCATATTTCTGAATAAATTTGTTAGCTATTATACATCAGTAGTGACCTTAACTGCCACTTGTGGAAAGCACTAAACCCATAAGGTTTTTCCGCATGGCAGAGCTGAAATGTGTGACTGGGAAGGTTTGGGGGTATTATATAATCTTGGAAAGCAAGGATAGGAACTGGAGGTAGTGAGGGAAAACCATCAACAAAAAGGTTACATTTGTAGTTGAGCTTAACATGAAGGTTGTGATAATTTTGAATTTCAATACAAGGTAAACTAGTGCCAAAAAAAAAAAAAAAAAAAAAAAAAAAAAATTAATATACAGGTCTATTTCGTGAATGAGAATTACATTTGTAGGAAAGCGCAGGACCTGTAATGGTCACACAGCACTTGAGAAATGAGGGGTAATCAGGTTTGATCCAATTAGGAAAAGTTCACTTTAATTCCCTAGATCAAGAACCCTTCACCACACCATTGCCCAGGTTATGTATGACCCTTATGGCTTTACCACTTACCCAAGACACACAATACTATGATAATCACAG